CACCGCAGCCTCGACCTGCTGGGCTCCGGCGATCCTTCCGCCTCAGCCTTCCAAGTAGCCGGAACTATAGGCGCACACTACCACACCCAGCTAATGTTTGATTTATTGTAGAGATGAGATCTCGCCAAGTTGCCCTGGCGGGTCTTGAACCCGCAGGCTCCCAAAGTGCTGGGATTACAGGCTGAGCCAGAGCCCAGCCGACAAGGTGTTTTGAGAATACCAAGGGCTGTGTTCACTCAGGGCCCAAGAGCTCCCTCTCCCCCACCTATTACCCCGACTAGGGAGGCAGAGGACAGAGAGAGGAAGAGGAAGTTCCTGACACAGAGCCTGGAAGGTTAGTTGAATTTAGAACTGAAGAACTGAAGGGACACGCATGAGGGAAGGGTGAGATGCAGCTACTTGTGAGTAAACAAGGGCTGTCAGGAGGGTGGGGCACCGGCATTGCTTGTGGGATAAGTCCAAACTCCCTCTTCCCCTTTCTCCCACCAGCCAGAGGTCCCCACCAACTCCTCCCACCCTGCTCCCCAGTTTCATACAATTGACTGTCAGGTGCACCCAGGACCCGTTAGCAAAATCGTCCTCAGGGCTGTGCTGGTCCAGGAAGAGCACGCGGCACTCGTACCAGCCCTGGTCTTCCACCCGGAGCCCCTCGATTTGCAGAGACGCCCCCTTCTGCAGCCGGACACGTCCTGGGGGAGGAGCCGTGCATCAGAGTACTGAGAGCACCCCTACAGGAGCCCCAACACCCTGGTCACATGGTTATTCTCAGAGGTCAAGAACAGGCTCCATCTCTCCCAGTCACTCTGAGCAGGTCCAGAGAGACACAGATGGAGTTGGGGGTCACTCAGCAAAGCTCCCTCCATTCTGCCCCTTTGACTGCTCCTGCCTTTCAACAGCTGGGACCCACTCCAACCAAAGAGAAACCCAGAGGTGGAGCAGGTGGACAAAACCTTCCACTGAACTACACTCGGCTTCCAGGACTACTGGGGGGAGGAGGCTGAAGAACCAGTTCTGAGTCTCCTCTAGATTCTTGCAGGATCTGTCCACCCAGGCTCGCTTCGTGGCGGCAAGGTCCGGGCTCCCGGGAGTACGCCTCCTGCCAGAGAACACTGCCCCTGAAAACCTCGGCAGCGTCTGAGGCCCTGACAGGGACCCAGATCTCGCCTGTCAAAGCCCCTAATCCCTCGGGGCTATTATCAGCAGCCTAAGCGCCTTAGGGTGGCCAGCGTCCAGCCCAACCAGGCAGCAGAGTCAGCAGCCTCCTCGCCCCATCCCGCCACGCCCCGGGGCACTCAGGCCCAGCCAACTGACCACATGGAGCTCTACAAAGCCACACAACCACAGCACAAGCAGACACCTCAACCCCGCCCTGAGTCAGCACCCGTACCACTCCACCAGACTCAGACAGAAGGTGCCCACCCAATCCTCAGCACCATCTCCGGATGGAGCCCCACACCCCAGACAGCTGCATGGGTCCCTGGCAGTGTAGCCTAGTGAGACAGGCTCAGAGTTGGGAGCCAGAGAGACTTAAGCAAAAGTCCAGCTCAGTTGTGAACATGGGGCAAGTGACTTAATCCCCCTCAATTGCAGTTTCCTCATCTGGAAAAAGGAGAGGAAGGAAAGAAAAATGGGGTGGGGTAGAGAAGAGAGGCACTTGCATGGTGCTTGGCTTCAGAGAGTGCTGAGGTGAAGGGTATTGAATACATAAATGAGCTTCAGAAGGAAATCAGAAGTGTGCACTCAAGTCCTGGCTCTGTCTCTAACCTGAGCACACGCTCCAACCCCCTTTGCTCTCCCCGTTAGTGAAGAGCCCCAACACATGCCAAGTCACCCTCCCAGGACCCTGGCGTCGCCTAGATTCCTCGATGACCCCCACATCCACTTGCTCATAACACGTTTCTATCTTTTCTTCTTTCTTTCTTTCTTGTCAGAGTCTCACTCTGTTGCCTTGGCTGGAGCGCAGTGGCATGCCCCCGGCCACCGCATCCTCAACCTGCTGGGCTCAGACGATCCTTCCACCTCAGCCTTCCAAGTAGCTGGAACTATGGGCACGTGCCACCATGTCCAGCTAATTTTTAAAAATTTATTGTAGAGACGAGGTCTCGCCGTGTTGCCCAGCCTGGTCTTGAGCCTCAATGTTCTTGCTTTCGCCTCCCAAAGTCCTGGGATTACAGGTCCCACGCTCAGCCTCGGTACCTTTCAAATCCTACCTCCTAAACCTGTTCCCTTCTCTGCTTCCTCCCCTGTAAACCTATGGCAAGTCTCACCTGGGTTTCTCCAAAAGCCTCCTTGTAGGTATCCCTATCTCTAGCCTAGTCCCCTTCTAAATCACCAGTTGCTAACCCCCACCTTGACTTCTGATACAGGCAAATGGCATTCTTTTTTTCCTTTCTTCTTTAAAGAGAAAAGGTCTCACTCTGTTGCCCAGGCCAGAGGGAGGCACAATCATAGCTTACGACAACCTCAAACTTCTGGACTCAAGTGATCCTCCCACCTCAGCCTCCAAAGTAGCTAGGACTGCAGGTGCATGCCACCACACCTGGTTAATTTGTTTATTTTTATTTTTGTAGAGATGAGGACTTGCTATGTTGCCCAGGCTGGTCTCAAACCCCTGGCTTCAAGCGATCTTCCCTCTTCAGCCTCTCAAAGCACCAGGTTTACAGACAGGCGCCACTGCACCCAACCGTGTTTTCTAAATCTCATGGGGTATGCAAATGCAGCTTCCAGCCCTTCCCTAATACTAGAAATTCTGAAGCTATGAGTGCACTCAGTTCTCCAGTCTGCTTCCGTTCTACCACTAGAGAGCTTTCTGGAATAGAATCTAAGTCTGCAGTGCCCCTAATGCCATCAGGGAAGAGAGAAGGATCATGTTGAGGCTGGCTTTGTGATATCAGACAAGGGTCTTTTTTCTGACAGGGGTGTGGGTTCTCTAGAATGGGTGGACCTACCTGAAGGGCTAGGTGTTTAAATCCCCACCCAGGAGATAAGACTAGGCCCAGCAGGTAAATATTTAACATACTCATACCCCTCCACCCACCAGCAGGCCTCCTCAAAAGCCCCAGTCTGCCTGCGCCTCCTTTTCTATGTCCCAAATGGCAGTAACTTTTCATTATGGTGATCTTCTCACTCTACCAGAAGAATGAAGAGGGAAGGGAGACCGAGCGATGAATATAGGCCTTGTAATATTAGGCACTGTCGTCATATTTAATCCTCCCAAGAATTCCATTACAGATGAAGGAACTGATGTCAAGTTCCTCTCCAAAGTCGCATGGCTAGTAGATGACAAAGCCAGGCCTTCTCTCACAGATGCAGCATGATTCCCACTGAACACTGGCGTTAGGATCAAGGGCTCTTCCGGGCAATGGGCATCATCGGTGTATTCTCACTTGGGAGATACTGTAGCCAGTGGACAACAGTCCCAAATGTTCGTTAATCACAGTATCTCATAAGCACACTGCCTGTCCTAACTTTTCTGTGAGATCTGGACTGCTGGTTCTACAGTATCACAGAACAGGAAGATGGCCAGGGACAGCAGTCTGGAGTCCTCCTGAGGCCTGGGCCGCCTCCCGGAGGCCTGTCCTCCACCTGCAGGTCCCAAACCTGGACTGCCTTCAGATCTTCCACCCACGTCCCCCCACGGGGGTGTGTGAAAGAAATAGGAGACACCGACTCTGCTCTCTCAGCTCCTGGAAGGCGGGGAACCCACAGTCGTGTCAACAGCCAAGTTCATGTCCACACAGAAGTTCAAAGAATGGTGTTGACTGTGCCCAGCCATTGCACTATGAAGCAGTAGGAGAAAGGAAGGCTTCCAGGAAGAGGTGACTGGGCAGAGACTTTGAGGACTGTACAGGGGGTAAGGGGAGACAACTGACTAGGGCAAGCAGAGGTGTGCCAAGTGCAAAATGAGATCACTTATGTTTATCCCACAACTCAGGGCAGATAGATCATGCATGACCCTTCTGCTGTGGAGGGCATCTTGAAACTCCCAAGAAATACACCACAAAAGTCAAAGACCAAAATCCTGTCCCACAGTTTCAAAGAGTTGGTCTAAGACCCACCCCCCCTCACAAAAAAAAAAAGCTGGTGTAGACAAAGTCTAAACTGCCTTCCCTCCAGAGACCTGGACACAGATTCACACCATGCATGCACTGCACGGACACGGTGCTGGATGCTTTATACATGACAGCTAATGCAATCTTCCTATTGAGTTCAAGCTTGTTTTATACTGCTTTTACTACTTTTGCGCTAGGTGATAAGCCCAAGCTCCTCTGCTAGCTGGCTTCTGGAGTCCTCAAAGACTAGAAGATTTCCCTTCCGTGGGATCCTGACTGCACCGCACCAAGCCTCTCTAGAGGTTCTCGCATTCTAGGCCACCAGGCCCCCAACAGTCCCTGGCCCATCTCCCCTCCACTGCCCAGAGGGTTTATGACAGAACAGCATTGTCCTTAGCAACCTCCACCTCCTGTTGCTTAGCAACTGCAGTTCCGAGTCCCCTACACAAAGGCTGAGAGGCCCCTTCCACACCGTGAGGCAGTAAAAGGGTTAACGTGCTCAGGGGCCTCCCTCTGGGATCCTCACTCCCTCAACCAGCTCTGGCCTGACCAGGAGCTCCAGACTGAGACAGGGGCCGGAGCACAGGGCAGGGGTGGGAAGAGGTCCCCAGAGGGTGCGGCTCACGGCCCTCACAGCTAAGGAACAACACAGAGACAGAAGGAAAGCCTGCAGGTAGACCAAGCTGCCAACCACCCCGTCAGGGCAGGACAGACGCAGGAGAGAAGGAAGAGCCTCACGTCTCCCTGAAGGAGTCGCAGGAAAAGCCCTCCCCTGGGTCAGCAACATCCTCAATCTGCCCAGCCTGGCCCCGGCAGCCCCAGCCCCCGCCCAAGTTCAGGCGGGCAGAGGCAGGGAGGGAGGGCGGGTGGGCACAGCCGTTTTTTTCTCCACTTGTGCTAATTGAGGCCCGCTCTCACCAGTTCCCACAGGGCCTGTGGAGACACATACACTCCCACCAGGCTGTTTGCCAACAACAGCCCCCAGTCTGAAGATAAACTCTTCCCTTCTGCAGCACCTGCCTGCACCCCTCCCCTCTCTGCTCAGCCCCATGGTAAGAGCTCAGCCAATCCCAGGGCTTCCCTCAGGATTCAAACTAAAAAGGGAGGAGGTGGGGGTCCCCCATAAACATCCTCCCATGTGCCTTTTCCTGGTCGCCCCTCTGAAGGGGAGGCCACACAATGCTGCCCTACCCTGGTGCCCAGAGTTGGCCTAAGGACCTCTTGCATGCTGCCCCCGGAGGCCTGGCACTAAAGCGCTCAGATTAAGGCTCCGCCGGGATTAGGAGGAAGCCAAGCCGTTCCAAGGAGCCAGCTGGGTGCAACAGAAGCCCCCCCAGGGAGACTGCCCCCTGTTTTAAGTCCAAACCGGAACCACCTGAAATAGCAGCCCAGTCCAGCCCCCATCCGTTCACTGACAAGTGGGCAGTCGGGGCCATCCGAAGCCCAGCCTCTCTAGACACATGCTCTTCGGTGCATAGAAGGATGACCCCCACTCAAGAAGCAGAGAAGCCGCAGCCCTGCGCATCCTGCTGCCCCATCAACCCACTCCCTAGAAGCCTAGATCCCCCGAACTGGCACCTGAGACAGTGGGGGAGGTGAGGGCAGAAGAGAGAGCAGGATGGCAGAGCCAGGACCAGGACAGGGCCCAGTGGGGACACCACAGGGGGTCTGGGAGGTTTCCTGCTGAGATCCAGAAAGGCGATTACAGAATCAGGATGGCTGCTTGGAACAGTCCTGAGGATCTCCTTGGAAGAGACCACGTGGCGTTCTAAACAGCACAGCTACAACGCATGTGTTTGTAAATGAATGAAGCGTTGGATGAATTAACACTGCTTGGGAGCCGAGCCATGCTTATTCATCAGAGTAAAGGCACTGGAACCGGTGAGATTGGGGCAGGGACAGAGCAGTTCATCAGAGGCCCTGCTCTCCGCACCGCCCCATCCCAGCCCACCTTTGTTGCTGAAACCGCCCTACCTCCATCCGAGGATGACTCTTACCCACGTAATCAGGGTCAACTCGGGGAGAGTAGAGGCCGAACTGGATGAAGATGGGAAGCAGGAATCCAAAGCGCAGCCACTCGATGACATGCAGAGGGGGCCGGCCGGCTGGGGGCAGCAGGTCACAGCCCAGCACCACACTCTCCCCAGCCCGGCCCACCACAGAGAGCACCTCAGGCTTCCCTCGACCTGCATGACGGGTGGCAGGAGGGCACAACAGGAGCAGAGTCAGGCTGGGAGGGGAGGTTCCATCAGTGTCTCTGCAGACTCCTCGGGACTTTGGGTGATGGGAGGAGCCCCAGTTTATCCTGAACTGGGCTGATTCCTCCCCTTCCCTCACAGGCTCACAGAGAACTCAACAGGGAGCACCTCCCTCTCCAAGACTCACAGGGAGCCTTGATCCCAGGAGTCCAGCTCACCGTCAGCCCCCTGGCTGATGATCAGGCTGAGGATGGCCAGGCCGAGGCACCACACCATAGCCCAGCTGGCCTGCTCACCCGGCCCCTCCTATCCACAGGAGCCCAGATGGAGGGGCAGCGGGGTGTCCACAGCCCAGCAAACCCCAGGTCAATCCTTCTGATCAGCCTCGGGGAACGGGCTTCAGTTCTCACTCTTCTGGGCAGTGGAGACTTGATCATGTAACACCTAAGGAGGCCGTTCTCCGGAGAATCACCAGATCTAGATGCAAATGTAAGGCAACGTGCAGAGGTGGCTAGTACCAGAGCCAGGAGAAACCCCAGAGTTAGAGAAAGGCACGAGGAGGAGTAAGGAGGAGGAGAGTGAACAAGTGGGGAGAGGAGACTGGGTGAGATCCTGAAGCCTTGGGAAGTAAGAGCTGGGGTGGGGGGTACTGGGAGCACAAGCCAAACTGGGTGCAGAAACTGAAAAGGTGAAAAAATGGTGGAGGCCAGGAGAGATGGAGATCTTGGGAAAAGCGAAGGAATTCTGGGGATGCCTGGGTTCTACAGGTCTTGGGAACTAGGCCAGGAGAGAACTGGGGATTCCTGATGCCCTTGGGAAAAGGTTTTTCATGGAAGCCTGGGAGATCAAGATGCTAGTGGCCCAGCCTCCTCTCTTTTCCTTACGCCTGCTAGCAAGGGAGTAGGCAGCAAGACAGAACCAGTATCATCGCCTCCACCCACTGTGCAAATAAGGACCCTGAGAATCTCAGCTCAGGGGCAGGCAGCCAGTCAAGGGCAAGTCCTGGATTCGAATCCAGGCCTCTGAGCCCCCAGAAAGCGGTCCCCAGGGCAGCCACATACAGACTATGCCCCATTTCCCTGGCCTCTGTGAAGAGCCCTGGGAGCTGGGACCCTGTGGTCCTTCTCCACTCAGCCTCCCAACAGTGCTTTGGAAACGAGTGAGCCAGGCCCTCAGGAGAGGAGGAGTTGCTGCCCCCACCTGCTGGTACGGGGGGCCCAGGCAGCTCCTCCAGGTCTGGGCAGGCCTGGGGCTGGCAGCTGGCGCCACTTCCTCTTCATGATGCAGCCAAGCAGCTCTCCCTCTGCCAGGCATCACCACCCAAGAGCCTCACCCAAATCCCTTCCGCTCACTCCCCTTGGGGAGCCAGGATTTGCCAGGCCCTCTCTTCCACAACCCTAGACCCGTGATCCCTAGAAGCCCAAAAGGCCTGCAAGTGCCTATGGTGTACAAAATAGCCCCAGGGCACAGAGGGCAGGAACCCTTGGCAGCCCCAACCCCACAGTTCTGAGGGCAGTGTCAGTGAGCCAGGGTTCCTCCCTGGGCCTGGCAAAAGCCTACTGGACTCTGCTCTGAGGCCTCCACCCACTCTTGGCCTCACAGTGCAGGACTGGCTATGAAGCATCCTCCACAAGGCAATCTGAGCCCAGCCTCTGCTTAAGGCCCCTGCATTGTCCAACTCTTGGCAACTCACCAGTACTCATTGCCCCTGCTTCCCATTGCCCCCAGCCAGCTTTCACACTTTCCTGAAAAATGTTTTTCCAAGTGGACAGAAACCCCCAGTTCTCTCACTTTTCTGAGACGCTAAGGCATCCCCAGAATTCCTCGAGTGTCCCAAGATCTTCCAACTCTCCAGCCTCCACCGTTCCTCACCTTTCTGGTCTCCCCACGCAGCACTCCCTCATCCTCCTAGTACTCCCTTCCCAGTTTCCCCTATACTCACGCCCCCCCGCCCATTCCAGTTTC